TGAACTTGAATGAGTAAGTTATGAGAAGAGAGCTGCATCCCTATATTCTTCAAATGTGTAAATCTTGTCTATATAAGATAACCCCTTGTACTCGTCATCGTAATCGTTTTGTGATATTTTTACCGTTACTCAACACTACTATTCTACTTATATCGCTTAACTTACCGTATCAATGAGTAGTGATCACTTCCATATACATCACTTCATTGGTAAATGCTCATTGTACTGCTGAAATAGTCGTTTGAAATCTATTTTAAATTGGAACTTGCTAAATAACTGTTTCGACCTATTTTCTCTTTGAATAAATCTTTGAAATAAGGCTGTCATTTGATAGCTTTGTTAAAATATCAAAATATTTGAAATTTGAATTATATCTCAGAATCTGGTTTTTCGTCTGCTTTCTCGTTAGCTGTTTGTAACAAATGAGTATTCACGGTTAAATCGTACAAACTTCATACAAGAACCAGCGTAACAACGGAAGTTGCCAGAAAAGGTAGTATGCCATATTTGGCTCAGCTTTCTCAGCTCTCTCAGGTATATGGTGGTTTGGCAAATCTGTTGGCTTCTATCACTTAGTATGGAATCTCAGATTAGACCGAATGAGATGTTTGGAAATGCAAATCTCTAGTTTGGGATGCTCCAATCATGTCGCTTTGTTTGTCGCAGGTGGTGCAAATGTTACAAATGAGTATATGAATTGGATTTGTTCGTTGAATTCTAAATCTAGTTTTGCTACGCTTGAACACTGTAACTGAGAACATTAAGGTCGCACCCTCTTTAAGACTTGTGCAGTTAAAGTTCAAAATTTGAGCCTGAGTTGTAGACTTTTTTCGTGACTTTCGGATATAATCTTACTTCAGCTTGAAGCCTTCCTATACTTCCTCGTGCTACGGGCCTAAACACTTGTGCGACTGGACTATCGGAGGAAAACAGGGCTCTGTTAGGCAGCAAAATGTAGGAGTCAAAGGGTGCGCAAAAATCTGGCTGTTTTTCGAATTAGGTGTGTGTTGTGTATTCACACTATGATGTGTTAGTTTCTAGTGAGTATCTCTGCAAAAAAAAATCATCAGAAATCTTTTGAAAGAAAAAGTTATCTGAGTTTGACTTCAAGACTACGGTATTCTTAGCC